TCTTCTTCCCTGCTGACTCAGTACTGGGGAAGATGAATCGCCATGAAGCTCTCGCCAGTATGTCGCCAGATGAAGAAGATGCCCCAATTGCGCTCAACCCTCAGTGCTCCAATTCCAATCCTGCTCCGATACCAATTGTTATGAACTTGGTTGTCTGACGATTGTTACCGACACTCAAACACAGACAGTCTCATACACGCCCATACATGCATAAGAGAAGGGGGAGAGGAGACGGAGTCCAACTGTACACAAATCAGAGTATGTAGCGGAAGTTCAGCCATGCACAGATGGGGAGAAGACACTGCATGATTCTCACTCTCTGACAAACTCCCAACAACCAATCACAAGAAGAAACCTGCGAGGATAACAATTGGAATACACACTGATGAAGAGCCAATTAAACCAGATATCGTTGCAGAGTTTGCTCCAGTATCTCGCCACACTCAAAACCCCACACTCCACTCTCTATCTTACACCCAGTTAGTAGCGCACAACCAAAACAGCCTCCCAGAGCCCAGCGCCAACCACCCAGATGAAGAACAAATCCTGCGTTGAAGTCTTCAGTGCCGATGGACAACTCTGACAAAGAACTAGGCAGCTATGGCTGCCACCACCCACAAACACTCAGTGAGGAGCCTCGATATAGCCTGGCCAGACGCAGATACCCCTAAACTATTAATAGACTTCTACTACTCTAGCATAGACCTGGACCGGACTGACTGACCGACTGGTACCGTTTCAGTTTCGGCCTCTCGGCCTCTACCGGACCCGGCTATAGGCTATAGGACCGTCTATCAGCTTAGGCCCTTAGGGTCTGTGTGTCCTAGACGTAGCCCGGGCCTGTTAAACACAGTGAGGGTAGCTGTAGGAAATTTGAAGTACTGCGGGGCTTATTTTCCCATATTTGCAGATATGTCCCTCACGGATTTTCCTTACAGGTAGGTCTCTCGGTTAGCCCTCAGCCAAACAAAATTACAAATCTAACCTACGGCTGTACTGTACAGCCTCGCGGTCAGTCTTGACAGTCGAAATCAGCAAGTTATTGCATACTGGTGGTTTAAGGCTGACACATTTGATTAAACCTGCTCAAAGGCTTGCTTTCCCATTCGCTATCAGTAACCTGGAGCTGGTCAACGGTCGTGAAGTATCTCAAGGAGGTCGCCGTTACTACTATCTAGTATAGATATGGTAAAAGAAAAAGAAAGTAAACAATTTGAAGTAGTTTCGATAACTTCTTTCTTTTTAAAACACAGAACCTTGCGGGTTCTGGCTCCTTTCCATTCTGGGGAGCATCAGTCCGGTTCCTATTCCACTGGCAAGTCAGAAAATATTACAATAGTTACAGACACACGCTCCTCCCCGTTATGGTTGAGAGGTCCGCGTGGACGGCATTGATCACTTCCCGAGGGAAGGATGTACCACCTCGCACCCCTGCCCAAGTTAGCCTGCATGACTTACTTGATCTATGGTCGCTAGCCTGACTCTCACTATATCTCTCTAACTATTGCAACAAACCAAAGGAGGCCTCGTCCAAACTATTCCTCTCAGCTGTTTGGCTGGTTTTTTTTTTTTTTTTTTTTTTTAACTAAACAGAACCTTACGGTTCCGGCTCCTTTTCCATTCTGGGGAGCATCAGTCCGGTTCCTATTCCACCGGCAAGTCAGGCAGAATTACAATGAGAACTCACACACGCTCCTCCCCCTTATGGTGTGGAGGCCCGAAGGACGGCATTGATTACTTCCTGAAGGAAGGATGTACCACCCCTCACCCCTGCCTAGGTTAGCCTGATGGACCTAATTTAGGCCCAGTCTGATCTCCTCCGTACTTGTTTGCTAAATGTGTCCTGCAGGCATTGGTCGGGCTAGCTTGTTCCTCTCAGCTGCTTGGCTGCCGGCTTGGCTTTAAGTGCTAGAACTGCTAACTGGGCTTTTCCTGTTTCCTGTTAAAACCCTAAACCTTAGCATGGAGCTTGTCCTGACTTTCCTGGCTCTTCCTGAAGCATCCGTCTATCCTCGGAATATCGTGAATTGGACTCCCTTTGGGGAGTTGCTCAATCAATGCCTTAGTAGTTCTACCCCCTGGCCTTAGTGATTGATCCTGGTCTTTTATCTATACACTGATCTACTTCTTTTTTTTTTTTTTTTTTTAACCGCCCCAGTTTATCCTTTCTCTAGCCAATACTTGTTTGTAAAAAAACCTTAGCCCCTAAACCCTCTCCCTTGGTCTTAAAGACTCTCCCTTTCTATTGTGATTCCTCTGATCGTACAGCTTGCAAACCCCGTTTATTACCTATTTTGCCGCCTATTGTAATGAAACCCGTCGAGGGGTAACTGAAGAAGATGCCAAAGTTTGAAATAACTCGATGCCAAGTAGAATCCTCTAGCCTTTTCTCTATTTGGGGTAGGAGGCTGGTTGGTAAGGGTGGGTGTTTTAAGTCGGTGGTGGTTGCAGGGTAGCTGGGGTGCGCGGGAGGAGGGGGGGGTGAGGGGGTAGGTGCAAGTTAGTATGTGTTTGTTCTGGCTTGGGGGGCTGGGGAGGGGGGAGTGGGGAAACATGTGTAGAGGCGGAGGTGGTTTACGAGGTTGCTGTTGTCGAGGTGGGTGGGTGGTGTTGGGTCGCTTGGATGGCGGTGATGGCTGAGATAGAGTTGATGATGGGTGTGTTGGTATCTTTCAGCTAGCATTGTTTTGTGCGAAAGAGTAGGCTCTAATGGTATTTGTCTAGATTTATCTTGGGTTGGGCTCTAATTGTTATTAATTCCTATTTGGGGTGCTAAATCTCGTGTTACCTGATTTCCTTTTTCTGTTTTCTGTTTCTGTTTGTTGGTTTATTTTTGTGGCTCGGGTGTTGGTTTTGGTTGCGATGCTTGGATTCATGTGCTTGAGTTAGCTTCTTGGGTTTTTAGCATAGTTGCGGCGCACGACGGTGCGCCGGTTTGTGCACGAGCAGCGCACGCCGCACGGGGCACCGCGGCGCCCTGAACCGCGAAAATTAGGGGTCTGCCAAAAAAATAAATAAATTGTTTTTTGTTACGACGGCGGGCCCCCACCCCGGCAAAAATGACGGCTGGGGCGCGCGAGTCCAGAAACCGGTCGCGCCCCACCTCCGAAAATTTTTTTGGGGGAAGGGCCTGCCGATTTCGAAATTTCGAAATCTGCAGACTATTCCCCCAAAAAAAATTTCGGACAAGGGGGACAGCATTTGGATCTTGGAGCGGGCACCGAAGGCGGGAAGCAGCACGGGGAAGGGTGACGAAGGCGAGAAGCAGCGCGGGGGCGGGAGACAGATGGAGGGAGGGAGGGACACGGCGGGACACCATCGCCGACATCAGCAGCAGGATACCATCAACTCGAAGCAGCGGCGGGAAGCGGCAGCGGGCAGCGGGCGAGCAGCCATGAAGGTGGGCGCCCACCGGCCATCTCTCTCTCTCTCTCTCTCTCACACACACACACACACACACTCTCTCACACACACAC